CTTTGGCAAAACCTGTCTGTGGTTTCCTTTCCAGCAGAGGAAGGGCCTCCACTACAGACAGATCTGTCCTACTACTCCTATGAGTACGACCCAGACCCCTACGTGTCAGAAGCTGATGTTTTTGAGGTTGTGGCAGAACTGACAACAACAAGCACGTTGAAAGAAGTGGACAAGATTCAGGAAGTAGTGACCACAGTAGAATGGTGAGCTGGAGGGGGGGAACATAAATATGGTTTGAGAGTCAACATATAATCTACCAACTTGTGTGTTGGGTCAAATGTATCAGTTCCTGAAAAGGAATCTTCTTAGCAAGGAATCACCAAAAACAAGATCTTGCTAAGGTGGGATATAAAAGTCATAGAATGGTTTGGGTTGGAAGGGACCTTTTAGGTCATCTAGATCCAACCCTCTGCATGGGCAGGGACACCTCCCACCAGCCCAGGTTGCTCCAACCTGCCCTTCAACACTGCCAGGGATGGAGCAGCCACAGCTTCCCTGGTCTCCATCCCTAGAAGAATGAAAAGTGACCTTTTTAAGCATTCCTCTGCCCAGCCCTAGTGCTGTTTCACAAAGATGTGTGCTGAGAAAGTGACTTATTGTCTTTACATTCTCTTTTCAACAGAAATATATAATTTAAATAAAGAGAAGAGGCTCAGAATCAACTCCTGTATGAGTTTGTTCCTACAGAAGACCTGCTGCAGAACAGAAACTGAATGATGACTACTTCCTGAAGCACTCAGAACTGTAGGCTTTGCTGCCCCATGGGGGGGGGGGATCTGGAGCACTAAGGGGGACACTCAGCATTATTTTTCTGTCAATTTTCCTGCCTTTTGTGCATCTTCTTTGGAGTACTTCCAAGGATGGGTGACCAATATGCTGTGCCCTCTAGGTGAGAAAAATAGGGGCTGGAATTCAAACCTATAGATCATTTCCAAGTGTTTTCTCTACTATCAGGATATTGCAAATGCCATTTCCTAGCTACATTTAGGAGCTAAGTCCAGGCTTTGTGCTTAGCTGAACTGCTGTTTGAGGAAAGATGGCTGAGAAGTTTTTTTCTCTTCAATTATAATAATAAAAATCAGTGTGTTTTGCTAATTATGACATAGCAAGGGGCTAATCGTCTTCCCCAGCCTGTAAGTCTACTACACCCACAATATTGTCCCACAAGAGAAGAACTTCCCTAGTGGCTCTGTGGTCAGGGAAGTTGTGGGGAGATACAATTTTACAAGATAAAACTGGAGTGCAGTGTCAGGGCTGAAAGGCTTGGCTGTGGATTCAGGTGGGGAGTTTGCCAGGAGCAGCTGGGACAAGGATTAGGTGGGTGAACCCTCTTCATCCTGCACTTTGTGCTGGTAAGAGCTGCTTGTAGTCTACTCAGTCCCTCTCCTCCTTGCAACCCTGGCAGGAAAAAAAAAGCTGACCCAAGGGCCCAGGCCTTTTAAATCCTTCCCTGACTTCACCAAACACTTTCCTCCCTTTCCCACTAGGATCCCCATGCAATGGTTGTTCTGGATATGATGGCTATGTAGGCCCTGGCTCTGCTGGCCAGTACAAATCACTGGACTCCCTTACACTGACCTGCCCCAAGCAATGTGGTAAAACTAAAAACAAAAGCTTTGTGTTTCCAAGAGTTCAGGAGCCAAGATTTTTTGGTTTCCCTTCCGGCCTGGAGCAGCATTGTTCTCTTTGGAGGAGTTAGATGCCATTGCCTGTTGCAAAATAGTGTTAATATTTTATCTTCCCACTTCTATTGTTACCAGGACCCAGAGTGGGGTGGAAACTCCTTTTGAGGGTGTTTATTGGTGAATGGAAACAGGAAAAAGCCCAGCTCCATTCATTTTTAGGGCTTGTTTACACAGGAACCATGACAAGAATACATCCCAGTATAGACATTCCATTCCAGAATAAAGGCAATTTTATTCCAGAAAAATGTCCACATGGAGACAAAACAGGAGATATCCCAGAAGTTGGGGATATGAAGTTTCCAATATTTTTTTGTCTGGGGCCAGTTATTTGCAGAATGTAGTTGACATGATGACGGTCTGAGTCCTGAAGTTCCCAGGAATTTCAGAACTGCTTTGCTGGCAAGTTTCCAAGCTTTCCTTCATGGCTGCTCTGAGCTCCATGTGGCTGCTGCCCAGATGTACCCACTGCTCCCTAGCAGAGGGTTTTGCCACGTCTCTCCAGTGTTCAGGAACAGCCCCTGTCCTCTCTGGGGCTGCATTCCTGTCTGGCAGGTAAATAAATGCCTTTAAACTAAATTCCATCTCCTGTAAGCAACTGGCCTGGCAGACACTGGCTATTGTGTACACACACAGGACTGAGTCAATATTTATCCCTTGGGTAAATAACAGACCTAGTTTGAGCTGCAACAAGAGTTTTGGGGTGGTTTTTTTTTTCCTTTTCTAAATATCAAAGCTGCACAATGCAAACCCTGCTGTTTACTGGTCTCAGCCTCAGCTGTTTAATGCTTTGAGTCTGGGAGAATGAGACATTTAGTCACCCTGATCATGTCTGTGGGAGTAGCTTCTCACAAAAGATGGGACCTGTGTTTTGGATTCTCCAGTCTCCTGTCCTCTGCCCCTTTCTGGCTTTAGTTCCCTTGTCTGATCTGTGGTGTAATTCTGGAGAGATTTTGAAGTCATTTTCTATTCCTTGGTCCTCTCAGATCCTTGGGCAGTCAGACAGCTTCACCACTGGGGACAAAGAGATGAAGGTAGGGAGTTTCAGCCAAGTATTAAACCTGACTTTCTTCATTTTCCTTGGGCTGTAGCACATGCAATGTGCTAAGTCCAGATGCACAAATTGCTGCCAGCTAAATAATTCCTCTGTTGGTGCCAGCCCAACAATCATGGCCTTGGCCTCTGGGCTCTCTGTGTGCCAGGGCACTCACCTGGTTGAGGCAGAGGAGTCTTGCTTCTGTTCTACAACTAGAAGAAAAGCCAGAGAGACCTGGACCCCTCAGAAGGCAAAGACAGAGCAGCCTTAGACAGACCAGGACAAAGTGCATGAGATTTCTGTGCCAGGGTTTCTGCATCTAGAGCCTCCCTTCACCATGAGTGTTTCTTCACAGCTTTGGCACTTTCAGGGAAATCACTGGTCCATCTGCTCTTGGCAGCCTCCAAACCCTCCCCTCCCCACTCTACCACACCAAACTAGCTCCTTTCTGTAGTTTTTAAATGAAAGAAAAGAGTAATTTTATTTAAGGAAGTCTTTGATTTCAGGTGGGAAGCCAGCAAGGACAGCAGACCTGCTGCTGCTTTGGGTTTGAATTAATCCTGGCTTAGAGACGTGTTCCTCCCTCTGGCAGAGAGATTTCCTTCTCCTGCTGGTCCCTCGTGGCAAAATAAAAGTGCCAGTGGGTTTGTCAGAGACAGATTCCTCCTTACATCAGGTTGTGTTACTGATGAGCTGCAGCAGTGCTAGTTATCAGTGATTTCTGCTTGCAATCCTTTCCATGAGATTAATATTTATATATCTGTAACTGTACATTATGCAGAGTAATCATTACCATGCTATTTATTTTAAAGCAATAGTTCCCTTGTTCTTTCTTGCCCAAGTGTTTTGGTCTTGCCTCTTTTCCTCTTCCTTAATCAGCCTCAGTAGAAAACAAATACCAGAAGAATGTTCAGCTTGCTTGAGGAACAGCATTGAAACAACAGGACTTGCTTTGCTGACATTAACTATTGACATTTAATGCACAATAACATGGTTCTCATTATTGTGAGTAGATCATCTAGTTAGAAAACTTCACCTCAGTTTGGGTTTGGTTTTTTCCTTCTTAGTACTTGCTCCTCCTGGCTGAGTGGCCCTGGCTCACCCCAGGTCTCAGGGGTGCTGCACCCAGAGGAGACAGGCTCTAGTTTTTCACTTGCATTTTGCCCCCACTCATACATGTACACACAAACAGTTCTGTGACCATCTTTGGTTTGTTCACACAAATCTTAGCAAGTCTGAGTCCAGAAAAGGGTTTGGTTTAGATTCTGATAAATATTTTATTAAAAACTGATTTTAAGATGATCTTTGCCTGCCTCTTCTTATTTACATCATAGGCTGTAAGTTTGATCACAGGTTATGGTGAGGACACAAGCCATGTCTGTACCAGTAAACCTAAAGAATTCAGGAACTCTGAGGAGGTTTATTGCTCATTTTCTGCTCACTGGGACATGCCCAGGTTGTTTGCAACAGGTCCCAGTAAGCAACAAGCTTGGCCACTGGTTTCATAAGAGACAGCTCTTGGTTGTGTGTGACATTACACAGAAGTGGGGAGTTCTAAGGTGAGGGTTTTTTCAATTCCTTCTTTATTGTTTTCTTTCAAGAGACATAATATTTTAAAAAATTAACATGAATACAATCTTTGCTGCTAAGAAATTATGGATGCCAGGGTTCATTGGCAAAAATAGGGATTAAATAGGATTGTTACCAACACTGGGCTGGCACTACTATGGTGCTGCTTACTGATCAAGCCAAGAACATATTTGCTAGGAAAGCCAGTGCTTTGATTTCTGTTGACAGAATATTTTAGTGCAGGAAAGTGCCTTTCACACAGGTTCATCCTGATCCTTTGGAAATGTTTAGAGATTTGGTTTAGCAAGTGCCTGTTCTTTTTCAGTTTTAGGTGAAGGGAAAGTGCATTCAAGGACAGCAAGCAAGTCTGTAGCAGAGAAAGAAACAGAAACTCAGTCTGCAAGATGCAGTAGGAAAACCAGCTCTAGGTACATTGGCAAGAGCAGCCCTGGCAAGATGGGACCAGATGTGAAGTTGCATGCAGTGTCCCAGGTACAGATCTGTATGTCTTTAGCCCTCCACATCTTGTCTGGACTCCACACCTCTCAAGGAATCCTGTGATCCAGGTTTATGCAGTTTTAGCTGTGCAGGCAGGAGAAAGGACTTGTCTCCTGGGAAATACTGGATGAAACTGATGGGATCCCAGTGTTCTCTCTATCTCATCCCCAGTGTATGTCACCAGTGCCCTGGGAGCAGGGAGCTGGCATGGAGGCTCACACCAGTAAGTCTCTGGAACTTTTTTGAGGGAGCATTTCCTTGGAGGTTTTTAGGGAAGTGGTGTTTTGTTTCCTGTGACTGAAGAATTTCCTCCTCACCCTGTCCCTGAAGTCTTCAGAAAAGTAGTAGTAGACAAAGGGATCGGCGCAGCTGTTGAAGGTGCTGATGGCCAAGCTCAGCATGTAGCTGATGTACAGGCTGCCATACAGCTTGGAGCTGTAGCTGGAGTAGTGGACAAGGAGGAGGACGTTGCTGGGTGTGTAGAAGACCACCAGGGTGAAGAGCACGAGAGCTGTGAGCTTCATAGAGTAGGAGTAGCGCTTCCCACTGCCCAGGAGGGCTCGCAGGACGGAGCAGTAGCTGAAGAGCATCACCAGCAGGGGAGCCAGGAAAGCACAGGCGATCAGGCAGACGAAGTAGTAGAAGTAATACCCGTCGTTCTCCTGCCTGGGGAGAACATCGTGGCAGACAGTGAGGTCTGCTCCGTACAGGGGGTACGACTGCTGCTGCAGGGTGAGGGGCAGGGTGAGGACGGCAGCGCAGAGCCAGCAGGTGGTGCAGGTGCAGGCAGCAAAGGCAGGAGTGCGGAAAGAACGGGAGAAGAAAGGATGCACCACGGCCAGGTAGCGGTCCACGCTGATGCAGGTGAGCAGCAGCACGGAGCAGTACATGTTCCCGTAGAAGAGGGCGGTGCTGAGCCGGCACAGCCCTTCCCCGAAGGGCCAGTGGTTCCCCAGGAAATAGTAGATGATCTTGAAGGGCAGCACCAGGCCGAGCAGCAGGTCTGCTGCAGCCAGGTTCATCAGGAAGACGGTGGAGGTCAGCTTCTCAGCCCTGCTGGCCAGCACCCAGAGGGCCAGCCCGTTGGCGGGCAGCCCCACCAGGAGGACCAGGGTGTAGAGGCAGGGGATGAGGCACACGGCGACCGCGCTGTGCAGCTGGGAGCGGGTGGCCTCGTGGAGCAGCAGGTACGTGACGTTCTTCACTGTCACCTTCTCCCCGGGGATGGCACGGGGAGACGGGGTGATCTCTGGGGTCGTGACTGGCTCGTTGGTGCTGTCCTGAGAGTAATCTGTCCAATAAACACAGGCTGTTGACCCTGGTACCCAGCAGAGCAGGCTGCACACGCAGCACTTACCCCCTTTTACAGGTTGGGTCCCTGGAAGCAGGAGGGTTCTGTAAAATGGGCAGAGCAAGCTGGCTCACAGCATTAGCACCCTTGCTGAAGGGGTACCCCATTCCTCTGTCCCAGGGCTCCCACAGCTCACAGGGGGCTGCTGTGTTGTGCAGACCCCAGCAGGCCTGGGGGACCAGAGAGCAGTTCCTCTGCCTGGCTTTCTAAAGAGCCCTGAGATCTGGTGCCACGCCAGGGTGAAAAAGTGGCTGTGGGAGTCTAGATTTTAGCTGAAGATTTTGGTTTCAAGTGCTCTCTGGGTTCTTTCTCCTCTAATTTTCCATTCTAGTTTCTTCCACCCTGGTTTGTGTCTCTCTGTATCACCTTCCATCACCTCCCACCTCAACTAGAGCATGCAGGGAGCTCAAGTAGAGGCTGCTCCCAAGACACAGCTTTATAAAGGAGTTTGTAGGGACCTTATAAAGGTACCAAGTATCCAGTTCTGAAAAAAAATAGCAGTTTTTTCACCCGTAGGTGCACACTCACCATCGTAGTCTGAAGAGGCCAGGCAGAGACCCCAGAAGGCACAGCACAGCACCAGCCCGTGGAACAGCCGCCTGTTCCTGAGGGTTCCCATCCTGGAGCAGGACCCAGGGTCACACTGCTGAGCTCAGGGCTCGGTGGGCAAGGCCTGATGAGTGTCCCTGCTCACGCATTTCCTTCTCCTGCTCCTTAACTCCCGGAAGCACCAGGCTCATCCCATGAGGGGCCCGAGTGTGGGGCTGTCACGATGTGCACGTTGCCCAAGCAGAACCTCAGCTCCTGTGGCAGTTTCAGGGCTGGGAGGAGCATATGTGTCCTGCTCCTCAGCAAATTGGGGCTGTGCTTCATCATCAGAGCTAGATGATGGCTGCAGTGACTCATTTGGGCCTCCTTTCCTGTTCCAGAATGTTCTTGAAAATAACAAATGTGGTCACATTTGATGCAGTTTGAATTTGGTTTAAACTGAACTGACCTGTGTCAAGCATCCTCCCACTCCACAGAGACACAAGTGGCTCTGTGTGAGATCTGAGCTCTTTCCTCATACCCTGATTCAAAATGCTTTCTGGTAGTGCAAGTTGAGAAGATACCATCCCCTCACAAAAACATAAATAAAGTCCAGGAGAGCTGCAGATCCAGAGAAATCCCCAGCTCCCAGGGGATTGCACAGAGCTCTTGCAGCCTCTTGCTGAGGCAGTTAAGGGCTTTTAGTGTCTGCTTTTCACCTCCCAGGTCAGGCTGGACCCTTCAGAGTTGGTTGTTTATTTCTGTGCCTGCTCCCTGCTCTTGGTCTCACTGCAGAAGCTGATTTAAAGTCCTGTGGGTTGGTATTTGCATTTGAAAGGACCAGCCCTGAGTGCCATGACACGTTCAGGATCACTGGGAAGTTCTCACACTTGTGCTTCTGCTGATAAACTACCAGGAAAGGGGAGTGCAGATCCATCCACTAGGAAAGGAGCCTGAGGAGGGTGCACAGGAAAACTGCTGCTGGGCAGATAACGGGGAATTTCAGTCACTCTTGCCCAAGAAGAGCTGTGTTTTTCCTGAGATGTGCAGCCTCCACCCAGTCAACCCCCAGGGAGGCTCAGCACTCTGTCTTAGCTGGGAGCAGCAGTGTGCTGCTGCTGCCATGGACCTGCTGGTTGTATGGAGAAGACAACTCATGTAATGCTGTAAGAGGGGCTGGCAGATGTTACCTGAACTTTTAGGGACCTTTGCTGCTTGGTCCTCACTTCTGAGCTCCTCCTAAGTCCCTTCCATGCTTTACCAGGGAATTCCCAAATCCTCTCCCATCCTCTGTGCAAGAGCCCCAGCACAAGATCACTTCCCAGTGGTCATCCAGTGGGGCAGGAGGTCACAGCTGGGAAGGTTGCTGCTTTTTAGGCTTTTGCTCCCCAGTCCCTGCCTGGCTCTGCAAGGGAGTAAGGACAGAAGCTGGAGTCCGGGCGGTAGGAACTGTAAATTTGGTTTGGCAATGTGAGGAGCAGTTCATTTCTTTCTCCTCAGCTTATGAATGGCCTCTTCTGTGAAGGTTGCAAATCTGAGCCTGGCTGCTGTTTGATGAGATTCTTCTATTCCAAGGAGAAAATGATCCTATTTCCTTTGCTTTCACCATATTCCCACATCCTTGTGCCGAGCGTGTCGAGAGGTGGAGTTCCACTGGCAAGGAGAGGGAAGATGCAATGTTAGATGTTTTCTTTTGTGATTCTCTCAGGATTTATGAACCATTACAGAATGACTCATGTGGCCACATATTTTCCGTGCCTCAGCCAGGATCTTTTCCATGCTCTGTATGCAAAAAATTAGACATAATCAGGTTCAGATAGTGTGCAAATCGCAGCCCTGCTTCCTATGGCCAGGTCTCTGGAGTGGAGCAGAGTGAGGTTACTCATTGGTGTATCCTTAATTTTTCAGATGCTGGGTGATCTTTAGTGACTGCTTTAGATGCAGAACAGCTTGCTTGAAAATTCCAATGCCAGAGGTTTGTCAGGGCTTGTTAACATCTCTTTAAGTCACGTGATCCCTGCCCTGTGTGGTTTATAATTTGGTTTTAAAGTAATTCATTGTGCAATAGATCAGCTCCTGGGAGAAGTAACTCTCTTCTTCAGGGAACATCCTCTTTTGAGAAGTCCAAGCCTGTGTCCTCTGAGATGGACCACCATCATTTTAATCAAATTATCCCGTGCAACTGTTGTCTCTGAGGATTGTTATGAGGAGAACAACAGTTTGTTTCCCTGTGAGCAAGGAAGACACCGCACAGAAAGCAGAGTCTCCTTTTGTTATGGCAACAGAAGTGTTGAGGGTGATGTCAAGGAAACTCCTATCAGATCTGGGTCACATCACTGCAGCTTCGTTTGCAAAAAGCAGAGCTCACAGGGAAGGAAGTTCAACTTCTTATTCCCCAGGAACCTGGGGGGTTGAGGGAGAGGCGGGTGGAGGGTGAGTTTCATGGTTGCAGTTGCATTGTCTTAACCTGGAGCAGATGTGCTTGTAGGTTTCAGAACTGGAATCAGTCACTTTTCTGGAAAACTGTTGCATTTAGCGTGTGAGTCCTCGAGGGCCAGGCCTGGGCCATAGTTTTGCACCACAACTCTGGTGGCAAAGGGGCTGTGAGAAATAACCAATCTGCAAAGAGATCCACTTTGCTGGCACTGCCCCCTTTTCCTCGGAAACCTCTCAGTGTGGAGCAACTGTGCCACCCCCTGGCCTGCCGTGCTCCTCTCCAGCCCCGGGCCTTGGCTCTGAAGCATTCCATCCTGTCTTGCAATTGCTTGAAGGGAAGTTCCAGAGAACCACAGAATTATTGAGGCTGGAAAAGACCCCATAGATCATCAAGTCCAACCTATGACCTGACACCACCACATCAGCCACACCATGGCACTAAGTACCACATCCAGCCTTTCCTTCAACACCTCCAGGGATGGTGCCTCCACCACTGCCCTGGGCAGCCCATTCCATCCAACTTTTCAATTGCATTTTTCTCCCATTTAAAATCCAGCTTCAGGTGCAAGAGAACCAACTCTGGGGACTGTCAGAAAGCCTAAATTAATGTAAAACACTGAGAGCTGCTGATTTTTAAAATCAATATTTTATTTTACTTGAATGTGCAAATAAATATATTTAAAAAAAAAAACAAACACAAAACAAAATCAAAAAAACAACCAACAAAACTACATTCAAAGAGCTGGCAAAGCAATTACAAGCCCAAAAAAGCAAAGATCCTTCAAAAAAATGGAAGAACAAACTCTTGAATCTAGCAGATCACACAGCTGGAACTCTCAGACATCAGCAAGCCCCTCTCCAACCTGCACTGCCTGCTCGTGCCATTCACATCACGTGCTACTACCCTTTCTGAGACAATAGCACTACAAAGGGTGAAGGTCGTGATCTGTCCAGATTATAAATTAAGGTTTACAAAATAAGGATGCTTAAAAATACCTGAAGTACACTTAAAAAGGGGGAGATGGAGCGGGACGGCACGTGACACCGTGGTACACTTGGGAGTCAAATGCATTTTAAGCCACAAGTTGCAACCTATTTTCAAGGTAACACGTTTCTGTATCATAAAACCATAACATTTGGCACAGTTGTCATCTCCACTGGAAGACAGCAGAGAGGTGGACAGGACCGAGGTGTATTTTGTTGAGCTGTCTGGAAGCAAAAGGGGGTTTTTCTGTGCTTTGCACTGGGCTTGTCCCCCCACTCCCCCACCCAGCCCTCCCATAACCACGAGGTCAGTGTCTTTAATCATTTTTAGCACAGGGGAAGAACATTCAGATGGTTTCAGTAACCAAAATTTAACAAAGACTCAGACAACAAGAACATGAGTTCTTGATGAAAAGTCCTCTGCTGGCAGTGGTTGTGCAAGTGGCCAGGAATGCCAGAGACTGGCCTCCCTCCTTCCCTCCTACAGATGATTTTGCAAAAAAAGACAAAGAAGTCAGCACAGTTTTCTATTAAACATACCCCAAAGGCCAATTTTTCTACTGTCAAGTGAGACAATTGCAAAACCAAATGTTGTACAGTGGAAATAACCCAGGACAAATCCTACAGGCTGCTACTTAGGTCTGACAGAAATTATAACCTAAAAACCAAAGCCACAGAAAAATATCAGGGTGGAGGGGTTATTCCCCCAAAAGCCAGGGAAAGAATATGGAAGCAGAGCTGAAAGGAGGCTGGACCTGCCTCAAGACATTATGCTTTAATATACTCCATGGACAGACAGTGTGCTTGTCCTTGGCCCCTGAAAAACAAGAGCAAAGTCACAGTGGGGCTGCAGGACAGACACAACTAAATGGTCTTGATTTTTTCAACAGATTGAGTCAGACAATTCACTTTGTCTTCTGCATGGTTCAGGGTGGGGGTTTTGTTAGGGTTCATTTCAAAAAAGCTTAGATAGAAGCACAGATGATTCAGTGGAAAAGCTTGTCTACAATGGTTGTGGCTGGATTCTAACACTGCCCATTACAGATTTCCATGTGTCCCTGCAATCCCAGCATCTGTGCTGACCCAGCAGAAACAGCCAAGGATTTGGGACAAGCCTCAGATCCAGCGCAAACCCTGTGCTGCGTGAGCTCCATCTGCTGATGAGACTGAGGTGGTACAACCCAGCAGAACATCCGAGTCCGGGCATGCACCAGGGAAGCCAAGTCTCCAGAGGCTGCCAAATCAACATGCACAACACAAACAAAACAGGCCAGGCCTCGAGAGGGGTGTTCATCCCCACGCACACACTCCGAGCAGCTCCAGGTCTGGGAAGGCAGAGGCTGCAGGAGGTCAGTTCCAGGTCTGGGAAGGCAGAGGCTGCAGGAGGTCACAAAGCCACCCTGTGGGATCTGGTGCACACTTGCAGAGGGGCACTGCAGCTCAGACAGCTTCTTCCCCTTCATTTATGCTCCAAAATACTTAGTTGATGAGTGAGAGCCAGAGTGTTTAGCACACAGTTCACCCTTCTCTCAGTTTTGGCATTTTTCTCACCAAAGCACCAGTAACAAATACTCATTCATTGCCTTATTAGCACTCATGGCTAATGAAGCAGCCCTCAGGGGGGCTGGTGATCCATACCAGGTGCTCTCAGCCCCACTGGCACTTGATGGT